AGGGGTGGATGAAGTGCTTCCGAGGTCGGCGCGGGGGCGGGGTCGTCACGGGGCAGGTCCTAGAGGAGAGCGAGGGCACCCCCTTGTGGCCACGATGGGAACGACACTCCTCGTGGACGGGATCTATCTCCCTGGGCCTGGCGCTGAGCGTCCACTCCAAACAGTAGGCAATATCTTAGAGCTTCTCCTTCTTCACCTTCTTGGGCAGCTTTTAAAGAAACGAAAAATAGCATGCACTGTTCTAGCTGTGTTATTGTTATGCTCATTTTACAGATGTGGAAAATAAGGTAAAATAACTTGCCTTAGGTCACAATGCTGAGAACAGGCTGCCTGGCTCGAAAGCACGGGGCTCTGAAACACCACACTAATTTGCCATAAAGCTTGGTCTCCTGGGGGTTCTGGATCTGGGCCTCTTCTCCTGCACACTTCCTGAGGGTTTCCATTTCCACCTGCCTACCCAACCAGCCCTTTCTCTTGGGCTCCATGCCCACTTAACCATTCAATGACTAGACAACTGCATCTGAATATCCCATTGTCGCCTCAATATCAACTGGTCCAAAATGCAATTCACCATCTCCCTCCTAAGTCTCTTCCTATAATATCCAATGCAAAACAGCCAATGATATCTCCATTCACCCAAACATTCCAACCTGGAACCTGGATTTCATCGTCAAGTCAAAGTCAAAATTAAAATCCCAATGAGGTACCATTTTACCTCCATTAAGATGGCTTAGAGAGAGAGAGTTAGAGAGAGAGAGAGAGAGAGAATATCAACAATTGGTGGTGACATAGAACCCTCATGTACTGCTGGGGTGGGTGGGCAGGGGGTGAGGGGGAATGTAAAATGGTATAGCCACATTTAAAAATAGTCTTGGTGGTTCCTCAAAAACTTAAACATAGCTCTGGCCAGTGTGGCTCAGTTGGTTGAGCACAGTGCCATGCACCAAAAGGTCACTGGTTTGATTCCCAGTCAGGACACATGCCCGAGTTTTGGGCTCAGTCCCCAGTAGGGGCGTGCAGGAGGCAGCTGATCAATGTTTCTCTCTTATATGGATGTTTCTCTCTTGTTCTCTCCCCATCTCCCTTCCTTTCTCTTTAAAACCAATAAAAACGTATTTCAAAAATAGTTAAACATAGTTATGATTTAACCCACCAATTCCACTCCAAGGTTTACCCAGGGGAAATAAGCATGTGTCCACCTGTATACTAATAACTGGTTGGAAACAATCCACATGTTCATCAGCTGATGAATGGACAAGTAAACTTTGGCATATCCATACAACAGAATGTTAGTAATACAATGAAGGACATCTACATGCAACGACATGGATGAACCTTGAAAACATTATATTAAGTGGGAGAAGGTAGTATAGTCAATGATATATGAAAGACCACATATTTTATGATTCCATTTATATAAAATAGAATAGGCAAATCTGTAGTAGATTAATGGTTGTCTAGGGTTGGGGGAAATGGGAGGATTAAAGGTTGACAGTTACTGGGTATGGGGTTTCTTTTTTGAAGTGATTTAAGTGTTCTGAAATTAGTGATGATGGTGGCACAACTTTACTAATATACTGAAAGCTACTGAATGGTGTACTTTAAGTGGGTGAGTTATATAGCATGTGAATTATATCTCAATAAAACTTTTACCAAATATTGGACACAGGATTAAAATAGATATTCCTCCAAAAAACATACACAAATGGCCAATAAATGCATGAAAAGATGCTCAACATCATAGCCATCAGAAAAATGCAATCAAAGCTAATGCTAAGCTACTGTTTCATACCCACTAAGATGGTATAATGAAAAAGACAGACAGTAACAGTGTTGACGAGAATGTGGAGAAATTTCAGCCCGTACCATTGCTAATGGGAATGTAAATGGTGTAACTGCTGTAGAAAAGTTTGGCAGCTCCTTACCATTTGACTCGGCAATTCCATTCCTAGGTATATACTCTAGAAATGAAAACATATGCCCCCACAAAAATTATACACAAATGTTTATAATACCACTACTCATAATAGTCTAAAAGTGTGCATTAATTAATGAATAAACAAAATGTGGTATATCTGTACAATGGAATATTATTCTCAACAAAAAGAAATGAAGTATTGATACATGTTACAACATGGGTGGGTTTTAAAAACATTATGCTATGAGAAAAGCCAGTCACAAAAGGCCAAATAGTATATGTTCCATTTATATGAAATGTTCAGAATAGGAAATTCATAGAGACAGTAGATTAGTGGTTGCTAGGGGCTGGGGCAGGGAGAAATGGAGAATGACTGCTAATGGATATGGAGTTTCTTTAGGGGTAATAAAAATTTTCTGAAGTTAGATAGTGGTGATGGTTGTATAACCTTATGACTATACTAAAAACCATTGAATATTACATTTTAAAGGGGTAAATCCTAGGCTATATAAATTATATCTCAATTTTAAAAAAATACCTCAAATCTCATCATCCAAAAAGTATCACCATTAACATTATGGTAACATTCCAGATATCTTTCTATGCATGTATATGGCTTGAAAGGTGGATTGGATGGATGGATGAATAAATGGATGGATGATGGATGGATGGATAGCTATACTGATTGAATACGCAATCAACACTCTTTAAAAGAAGGGGAAAATACAATAAATTCTATGTTTATTAAAAAGTATCTGTAGCCCTAACTGGTTTGGCTCAATGGATAGACAGAATCACCTCCCAAAATTTGGGTTCATGTACCCAATGCCCTAGTAGGCCAAAACATTGGGACACTGGTACTTGGAGTCAGAGAAAGGTTTATTGGATCTGGCTGAGGCAAGAGGATGACAGAAGAAGATCTCTCAAATGCGGCTCTCTCAAAAACACAAAAGTAGGGAGTTTTTATGCAGCTAGGGAGGAGGGGAGGGGAGGTTCCAGGGAACTGAGAGAGAAGTCTGTTTCTTTAGTCATAGATAACACTTTTTTCACATCAGAGTCCTGGGAGGCAGCAGCTGGTCACAGAAACCTTGAAGACATTCTTCCTTTCTGCAAAACAAACGCATAAATTCTCCTTGTGACCCTGAAGTTATCTCCTCCCGCTTGACAAATAGACACCACATCAGCAACTTACAACGACATTCACGAGAACAAAAGGAGCTGAGCAGAAAGAGCGATTAACATGTGAACAAAGGCCTACTTAAGAACTAAATTATTTAATTCTATTCTACAGAAATACTAGGGGCATTAAAATCAGGAGGGGCTGGGCTACAGCCACTCCTCACCGGTTGTCATTCTATGCTGTGCTGCAGGACGGTGACCTGCACAGATTGCTTGATTCAATCGGTTTCTAGCTGGGTTTAGCCAGTAAATGTCACCGCAGGACACAGAAGCCTGGAGAAGTGAGGTGAGTACACTTAATCCCTCAGATTTCTCTTTGGGGGTTGATGCATTTCTCCACGTAGGTCCCAGCCTTCTTCATGCAGCTGCCCTCTCTGTGTTCTAGTGGCCTTTCCTTCCTCTTCTACCTTTGAGACTAAGTGGATACAGGTCTTAGCTGTCACTAGTTCTGCAATGCAGTAATCCCCCTTGTTGGTTTCTTTAAACCCTGCCCCTGCTTTTGTAAATAGTACCATCATTAAACTCTCTTCAAATTCATGAGGAACTCAAGAACTTAAAAATATTTAGCTTAACTAGGTAGTTAATAGGCTTGATAATTAATGCGTGTAAAAAGCTATTGTTCCAGGAACTAAAATGTGTGACGGCCTATCCCCAGGACTTCAGGAAAACTGGAAGCAATTTGACCCTTGTGCCCAGGAGGACTGGACATGATCAAGATGGTATCCAAGCCATTGTGCTCCAGGAAGAGACTTTCCCGCAGCCCAGGTCACTATCAGCAGATGAAGGGATGCTCAGAAAATCACCTGACTGCAGCTTTTATCTGACTAACCTTTTCCCCTGAATTTCAAACCCTTTACCTACACTTTTCTTCTCCTTATATAATAAAAAAGGGCAGACTCGAACCTGGCTGGTGTGGCTCAGTGGTTGAGCTTCAACCCATGCATGAACCAGGAGGTCATGGTTCTATTGCAGATCAGGGCACCTGCTTGGGTTGCAGGCTCAATTCCCAGGAGGAGGCAGCCGATCAATCATTCTCTCTCATCATTGATGTTTCTCTCAAAAAAAAAGGCGGCCTTGAGATGTAGGATGGGTACATAACCTGCCATCTTCTCATATCGCTGGCCATCTGAATAAAGCACCCATTAAGATTCAATTCTCGTTTCTACCTATAGGTGCTGGTAGCATGAACACTGACTTTTCGGGTTTCAAAATTATCCCATTTTAATATCCCAGGAACTAGACTCCTACAAAGTTTTAAATATGTGTTAATCAGTGTTAGTATAAATCAGCAGTACATTTAATAGTTATAAAATTGTACTAGGATTAAAACTGATTTGATAGTATTATTATCAATCAGTTTTTAATACAAGAAAAAAGAAATTAAAGTGAAATGAAAGGAATTGTTGAACTTTAAATACTTCCTTACCACAAAAGATATTGTTTCCCCAAAGCTACTTCATTCGTTAGAGGTCAAGAGCTATTGTTTAGATTGAAATGTTACTTCTTAAAAATTCTCGATATTTTTTATTGATTTCAAAGAGAAAGAAAGGGAGAGAGAGAGAAACATCAATGATGAGAGAGAATCATTGATCAGCTGCCTCCTGCACTCCCCACACTCAGATCGAGCCTGCAACCTGTGCCTGTGCCCCAACTGGGAATCGAAACATGACCTCCTGGTTCATAGGTCAACGCTCAACCACAGAATCACTCCGGCCAGGTCTCTAAAGATTTTAAAATACATGTTTCAATCTAAACAATAGCTCGTAACTCCCAGCTTTGAAAGATATATTTGAAATCTCACATTTCCTTTAACCTCACTCTTTCATCTTCTGATTTTTGTTAGTTATATTATTATGTTTGCATTACTCAAACTTATCCCATTCATACTCTGTTCTGTAACCATCATTCCCATAATTGTTTGTTACTGGTCATACTATTTAAATGGATCAATGTTTATCCCCAATCCTTTTATATGACTTTTCTATTACTGAGTTCTTTATATTGATTAATCTTTTAATTGACTTAATGTCATTGTCAAACAGTTATTGCTATTTTTGTTGTTCTGAAAGTTACATCATGGATGTTATATTCCTTTAACATTTTCATGTTTGACAAAGTCTACCTTTGCCTTTTTTATATTTGAATAATATTTTATCTGGGCTGAATATTCTTAAGTAGCATTTTCATTTTCTCAGAATTTTATAAACAAAGCTCCACTATTTTTCTTGAATATTTATTTTGAGAAGTCTGAAGTTAGCTAACCACATTTTTTTTTTACCAACCTTAAATATGACTTGCTTTATCTGTTTGAAATACTTAAAAAATTATTTTATTCTTGAAGTTTGAGTAATTTTTGTGTCAGGTGCTTTTTCTCAAAATTTCAAGGAACACTATGTTCTTTCAATCTGTAAATTTACTTTAAATTTTTTATTTATTGACTTGAGAGAGAAGAAGAGAGAGAGAGAGATTTGTTGTTGCATTTACTTATGTGTTCACTGGTTGCTTCTTGCATCTACTCTTGGCGTATTGGGACGATGCTCTAACCAACTAAACTATCCGGCCAGAGCCCAGATTCACCTCCTCCTTCATTTTAGGAAAATTCTCTTTGAATAAGTCTCTGACATTCTACTCAGTGGGTTTTTATTCAGGAATAGCTGCTATCCTTGTCCTAAATTACTTTATATGACTTTCATATTTATTAGCATCTCTCTAATTTCTTGAAGCTTTGTCATTTTCATCTGCATCTTTTGTGATTATCTCAAACTAGAAATAGATCCACATATATCTGCCTCACTAATTTTTGGCAAAGATGCAAAAGTAAGTCAATGGTCAAATGATAGCCTTTTCCACAAATGGTGCAGGAGCGATTGGATATTCCCAGGCCCCCTCCCTCCAAAACCCAAACCTCACACCTTATAAAGAAATTAATTCAAAATGAGTTCTACGGACTTAAGTAGAAGTTATAAAACTACAACTTTTAGAAAACACAGGATA